ATGTGACTTTTAATAGTAAGTGAATAAAATAAATCAGGAATTGGGAAAGAAATAAGGTTAATTAAAATAATGAAAATTACAAGTTTAAGGTTAATGAAAAAGTGACAATGGGCGAGTTTGTCCCCCACTCATTTCAAATGAGTGGTAGAATCTTCGATTTAATTGATTTAGAATGGTTAAATCAAGCTAATCAACAAATTCAAAGCGGTATTAACGTCGAAACCGTTCTCCAAAATGTCCCTTTAACAGATGGAAGAATTCTTCCCACAATATCACATAAAACTTTTAAAAACGCTCTTAATTTCAATCAAATTGAAATTCCAAAATTACGTACAGGTCCAAAACCAAAAGATCCACCACAAGAATTAATAAATACTGTCCAAAATTTACATAATAAAGTTCAAAAAATAGGAATTTCCCGGGCTTTCGGCCGAATTATAACAGATCGTCAAATGATACTTGAATCGCAAATGCAAAATCAACAAAATATTCAAATTCATTTTCCAATTCCACAATTGTCTCAACGGAATCAAAATTCAGAGTTTGATTACAGTTCTCCTGACATTTCAAGTTCATCTGAACAGTTATCATCAGAAATCTCTTCAAATTCCGACGATTCATCAGCCGAAGAATTATTTTCATCAAGTCCAAATTCAATTGATACAGAATCGGATATAAATTCAGAAGATGACCCATATTCAATACGCACAAATACAACTTCAACATTTGAAAAAACTACAGATTATTTTGACCGTAAATTATTGAACATTCAATTTTCCGAAAGAACTGTTAATAAATGTTTCAAACTTCTCAATCTTGCACAACCGCCAAAAAATTCAAAGGCAAAAGGTCAAACAAAATACGAAGCTTTTTACGTTAATGAAATATGGCATGTAGATATTCACTTTTTAAATCATCGCCAAGGTGAATATCTATATGCCGTTATTGACGATAAATCACGAAAAATTTTGGCTTGGTCACATCTCGAAACTAAAGAAGCGGCACAAACAAGTCGTGTCATTCAACAATGTTTCGATGTATATGGCAAACCGTTTGCCATATGGAGTGACAATGGGCTTGAAAACTACGGTGTTTTCAAAAATTTATTAAAAAATGCAAACGTCGAATCAATCACGATAATACCACACTGCCCTTACATGAATGGCAAAATCGAAAGATTTTGGCAGAATATTCAAGTTGATGAGGTAGCTTGGGATCAAATTCAAAATTTAATCGAAAATTATAACGCAACACCACATACACAGTTACCAAAAAATCCAGAAATACATACCTGGTTTACACCAAACAAATTTTATGATATCAGCGAAAAATATGATACCACCAAAGAACCCCTTTGGAAAGTTGATGGAGAAATTAAGGATTTGAGGATTTCTCTTCAACATTTCCGCGAGAGGAGAGCCAATCAAAGAAATTAATTCGGTAATATTTTAAAATCGAAAATAAAATCTAATTTTTAACACAAATTAACAATATCGATTACATCTTCTTACTAAGCTCAGTCAGATTAATAAGAATAAACACTTACTTTTTAAAACATTTACATATTTTTTTTCTTCGTTACAGAGATACGCAAGTTGCAGAAGAAGCAGCAACTGTAGTACAGTAATTTGACACTCCGAAATCGAACATTAGTGACTTTGAGTAGATTTTGAATTTAATATAGATCTTGATTTTTAATAACCATCATAGCAAGAGCTAGTTGGTGAATGGTATCCGCGAATTTCGGCTTGAAAGTTGGGAAACTTTGTCCGAATGTTAAACTATTCGGACAAAGTTTCCCGCTGTTTGCGAAGGAATTGTTGGCTATGATGTACTGATTCATGATCAGTACATCATAGCCAACAATTCCTTATACAAAGTTCAAAAACTTGGGTGCAATCAGAACTGATTGCACCCAAGTTTTTGAACTTTCTCGAGGGAATGAAAGGGTAAGAGGTATACATTATGAATATATACCTCTTACCCTTCCATTCCCTCTCTGACAGCGGGAAACTTTGTCTGAATGTTAAACTATTCAGACAAAGTTTCCCGCTGTTTGCGAAGGAATTGTTGGCTATGATGTACTGATTCATGATCAGTGCATCATAGCCAACAATTCCTTATACAAAGTTCAAAAACTTGGGTGCAATCAGTTCTGATTGCACCCAAGTTTTTGAACTTTCTCGAGGGAATGAAAGGGTAAGAGGTATATATTATAATGTATACCTCTTACCCTTCCATTCCTTCGACAGCGGGAAACTTTGTCTGAATGTTAAACATTCAGACAAAGTTTCCCGCTGTTTGCGAAGGAATTGTTGGCTATAATGTACTGATTCATGATCAGTGCATCATAGCCAACAATTCCTTATACAAAGTTCAAAAACTTGGGTGCAATCAGAACTGATTGCACCCAAGTTTTTGAACTTTCTCGAGGGAATGAAGGGTAAGAGGTATATATTCATAATGTATACCTCTTACCCTTCCATTCCTTCGCAAACAGCGGGAAACTTTGTCTGAATAGTTTAACATTCAGACAAAGTTTCCCGCTGTTTGCGAAGGAATTGTTGGCTATGATGTACTGATTCATGATCAGTGCATCATAGCCAACAATTCCTTATACAAATTTCAAAAACTTGGGTGCAATCACTGATTGCACCCAAGTTTTTGAACTTTCTCGAGGAATGAAAGGGTAAGAGGTATACATTATGAATATATACCTCTTACCCTTCCATTCCCTCTCTGACAGCGGAAAACTTTGTCTGAATGTTAAACTATTCAGACAAAGTTTCCGCTGTCAGCGAAAGAATTGTTCCATCTGGTGCATAGAGTGTGAATCTATGCACCAAATGGAGCAAGTCCCTCGCGAAATTGCCAAAACTTGCGTCGCATTTCAAAGATTGCGACCCAAATTTTGGCGATTTCTAGTAGAGATGGAGTATTTTGAGTCACTGACCTATATGCAGTGGCTCAAAGGGCTCCATCTCTACTTTGAAGCAAGGAAACTTTCCTCGAAATTTTGATAATTTGAAGAAAGTTTTCAAGCAATTAACAAAGGATTACTCGCTATGAGGTAAAAATTCTAGATTTTCACCTCATAGCGAGAGCTTCCCTTTCATTGCTTGAAAACTTTCCCCAGCTTCAAAATTGGGAAAGGGCTGTAAAGTCGACTCCGATACCAGCAGGTACCAGAGTATTTAAAAGAGAAGCCCTCGCACGAGTTTCTATGAAGACCTTCTCATTCAAGAAGATCTTAATAGAAAATCGTACGAGGGCATTGGAAACTCGCGTCTGGTACATGTTGGTACCAGAGTGTTTGAGATTTGAAGACTCTGGTACTAACATGTACCAGAATTTATGATGAATTTAAGATGGACCATTATAAAATGGTAGCGGTTTGTTTCAAAAAAATTTAGATGAGATTTGCATAGATATAGATTATATGATTTATACATATGAAAAATAATATATAAAAATATAATTTTGAGATAATTATGTAAATAATATTTTAAATATTTGAATTTGAGGTATAAATTTTATAGTAAAAAAAAAAAAAAAAAAAAAAAAAAAAGGTAGTGGGGCTTCCAGGGGCTGCGCCCCTTCTAGCCCCGAAGATGTTTAGTATAAAATGAGGTTTTTATTCGGAAAATTGTTAGTCTTCTGGTGTGAATTCGGAGGACTCTTCGTGTTTCTCTTCTTCGTGTTTCTCTTCTTCTTCCTCTTCCATTGCTTCTGGGAAGAAGTCTTCTTCTGGGTCGAAAACATTATATAATGTGTAATTGAATGACACATTATATCTTTGTTTGAGTTCGCTCTTGACAAAGAACTTAGTTCCAGGAATACAGAAGACTTCTGTGCGTTGGAAAAGCTGATGTCCTGGAACAAATTTGGCAATTAGAGACTTCTTTTTTCCGAATTGTTCAGGAGTTTCCATGACGACAGTAACAACATCTCCATCTGCGAGGTCTTGTTGTTGTTCGGAAAGGTAAAGAGCAATGATATAAATGGTTGCTGCGTTGAATTCGAGAAAGTCGAATTCAAATTGTGTTGTCGTATAGCATTCAAACCATTTTGTACAGTTGTCTCCGAACTCGTCAACGTATTCATCTTGGTCATATCCGTAACTAAAGACTTGGAATTCGGCAATTGTCTTGTCGAATGACCGTTGCATGTAACGAGGAAGATTTTGACGAACTTGGTATAAAGTTCTCAACATTATGAGCTTAGTAAATGTTGGAAAATACTGAACTAAGACATCGCTAAGCTCAATTGGACTTGGAATTGTCTTAGTAAGTTCAATTGAACTAGCAATTGCTTTGTTCAGAACTTCACAGAACTGAGTATTGTATATAGCGTCTGGTTGTGTGTTTTCTTCGGCGTCTTTGAGATATTTAGAGCAAATTTGTTGAAGAATTTCTCTTAATTCGCTGTTAGACTTTTTGGCGGTTATTCTAACAGCTGTGCCAGTTCTTGGAGGTTGTGGGGCTTTGGCTTTGGTTAGCGGTTGAGAATTGTTAATGTTGGCTTCCATTAGACAAAAATGAACTGTTTTTTTCGGACTACTCATAGAAAAGTTTAAAATAAACCGTTTTCGTCAACGGTAACCCCTTCTATAATTTTATTTTATTTAATAGTTACCGTTGGAAAACCGTTCCATCTCAAATATTGAATGAACTATAAACGTTTTTTGTTTTCTATATATACTTTTTTGTCCAACGGTAAAACTTTTTACACAACGGTTTTTGAGAGTCGTCGCCGTTGACTTTTTTGTAGAGCACTCAAAATAGTATAACTTTGTCCGGACAAGTAAGGGTCTATCGTCGCTACAGGAAAAGTTACAGGCGTTCCAAGGAAGTATACTTTGAGAAGCCTTTTCCCCTTATAGAATGAGATAGGACGGTTATTTTACAAAACTGACAACACTTTGACCGAGTAGTTTTTTGTGCTGAACAAAAAGTGTCATATAAACATCTGTCAAAAACCGCTTTTTAACTTCACTTAAAATGCCACGTAAGCTACGTAAGAATATACGTAAGAGGAAGAGAGCATTGAAACATCCAATAGTAAAACTGACACCACAACAACAGTTGCAACAACAAATGCTGAATGACCCCACTATGTTGCAACAAATGTCAAGCAATCCTATGCTTTTAAACCGAGTTGTTGGTGCACAGAGTGGAGGTTTAAGAGCGGCACTTTTAGCGAAAATGGCAGGCTATGGTGGAGCTGCAGACGGAACAGCCTATAACCCTCAAAGTCAAATGAATTTGAGTTCACTCAAAAATCAAATAACAGATGTCAAAAAGTCAAACATAGACATACAGAAGCAAATAAGTGAAAACGAAAAGAAACTAGAATATGACAGACACACAAAGAAACTCAATGAGTTAAACGTAGAGAAAAAGAAGAAAGAAGAACAACTGAAAGAACTAAGTACAGAGGAATATGCGAAAAAAGTGTCAGAAAAAGCAACAGAAGTAGCAAAAATGGAACAAGATGTCATAAATTTGAAAAACCATACTACTCAATATAAAATACTGAAAGATGAAGAGATAAAACAAAAAGCCCTGAAGACATATATGGATAGCGATGAGTATAAAAAGGAAGTTGAAGCAAATGTAAAGGCAGAAAAACTTTTACAGTTGCAAAACCAAACCGTACAGTATGAAAACTTAGCACAAGAAAGTAAAAATAACGACGCAGCCATGCAAAAGGCAATGAAAAGCGCAGAATATATAAAAGCTAACAATGACTGGTTAGATGCCCAAGCCAACGCTAAAGCAGCCCAACTCATAGGGTCAATAAGGACAAAAATACAAGCGGATGAAGACAGTTCAAATGAAGCTTTAACAAATGCTGACTTTAAGAACGCTTTCGAAGCTCTTCATAGTAAGGTGAAACAAGTGAACGACTTCTCATCTGGAAAGAAACTGAAGTCTGAAGGTTTCGACAAAGAGTTAAAAGAAGTAGCACAAAATATGACGAAAATAACAGATGCAGCAACGAGACAGGCAGTTCAAAGTGCCTATGACGCCGTTAGAGCAACTGTTGTGAAAAGTCAAGAAAAAGAGTTACAACAGACCAAAACAGACCTAGTAAATGCTTTCTTAAGAACGAAAAGTCAGGTAGGACATTACGCTGCAGATGGAACATATGTGCCAGCTGGTGGAACTTATATACCACCAAACCCTCCAAGAGAAGCACCTGCACCAGGACTACCTAGAACATTTACATCGTCACATGGACACAGACACAGGCATGCACAACAACCAGCACAACAACCAACAGTTCAAAATCCAGCACAACAACAACAACCAGCACAGCAACCAACAGTTCAAAACCCTGCACAACAACCACCTCCACAAACAGAGCAAGGACATAAAAGAAGTAGAGAACAAGGAAACCAAGAATTCTTAAAAATGCTTAAAGAAGAGTGTGGTTTCCCAGATACTGTTGACTTTAGTGACAGATATAAAGAAGCTATTGGAAAGTTCAAGGATGGAAATACTGACCCGAACCTATTTAGCTTTATGGCTCAGCACCAAAACGGATATAATCTCAAACCTGGAAAATACAAGCTCGCTAAGGGATATGATTTAATAGCATATCATCCAAATGACATGGATGAATTTACTCCGAGATATTTGATGTCAGAGCTAAATGACAATTCAACTTTCGTCATGAAACGCGTAAAAAATAGAGACGGAACGAAAGAACAAAAGCTTATGAATGCGGATGACGTAGATAGGGAAATTGTTGAAAACGGTCTCGGAATATATGAAATGCCAGCAGATGAGGTACAAGAAACTCCACAGGAAGAAGTTCAGATACAACCAGACATGGAAGAAATAGTTCAGCAACAACAGCTAGAAGAGCCTGAAGGAAACGAACAAGTCACTCCTTTGGAAACTAACTTCACAGAACTAGATGAAGATTTGGAACAGCCGAAAAATCTTGACCCTCAACAAGAGTATGCGGAGAATATGGAATATTTCCAAGAGTCTAAAAAAAATTCGGCTGACATAGTAGAAGAATATCGAAAAATGTTTGCCGACATACAAAAGACTCCAACACCAGATGAAAATATTCAGCATAGAATGGAAACTGAAAGAAAATGTACACAAATACAACAACCCTTTTTACTTACGAGCATTTAACGTTCAATCTTCGGATGAACTCGGTGAAAATAAAAGGTTAAATTTCAAGAAAACATATAGAAATGAAACATTGTTTAAAGTTCATTCAGAACCTAACCAAGATGGAAACAAACCTACTTTTGTTTCTGCAGACGATGGAACTACAATGAGATGGGGTCATAAAGCTAATCCAGATAGGTGGTTCATAAACTTACAACCACAATTCCAAGAAGTTGTAGACGCAATGGAAGTCAATGGTGAACCAGATATAGCTGGTATTTTAAGCGCGGCTTTAATGCCATTGAAAGATATGAAACATGCAGATATTTTGGACCAGTATGAAATGAACATGGCTGATGGAAATATAACACCTGACGTTCTAGAACATTTATCTCAAAGAACTACACAGAACCATAGAGATGGTATATTTGGTGAAGAGTTTAGAAAGAAAGTTAGGGAGAGAGAAGGAAGAGAACCTATTGTACATGACCTTGCAAACGAAAGTTTACAAAATGTCATAAAAACTTACTTTGCAGACAATGAACGAGAAGGGATGAATATTTAAGAAAACTCAAATGGACAGTACCAAATGAAATGTTAGTATTGAAAAACATGTTCCTTGACAAAATAAAACCAACTACAGAAATAAACGACGAAAGACTGAAAGATTGGGTAAAAGCTTTCCCATTCACAAAAGATATAATTGGTAACATGGAAAGAAAACCAGAATGGCTACAAAAACATATATTTGGAAACGAGCATATTCCATATGGACAGGCACTGTTTGAAGAGCTTGAACCGGAAACTCAGGAAAGAGTCATGCAAACAATACGCGAAGACTCAAATACAAACTATGACAAAATCTTTCTAGGATATAGGTTACCTGAGATGGGCGACCAGAGCCAAAAGGCAAAAAGGACATGGGAAATTTGCAACATACTAGATGAACATAATGCAAAGATGCAACAACTTCAAGCAGAGGGCAATGAAGGAAAAAGAAGAGTTAAAAACTCAGTCAGGAAGAAAGTAAAGCTTGGTCACGTGGGTTCTATTATGACATATAAATCCAACTATTCTATATTTTTACTCATATGAAATGTACGCCGCTCAGAATATAACGCCAACAGTTTTGGATGCTATGAATGGAAATGTTTCCGAATGGTATAACGAATGCGACAATGCCATTAGAAGGTCAGAAATAGTTCCTGGAACTTACGAATATACAACTGCTGTTTCTTATGGAAACGTAGGTGAGTTTGGAGAAGGTTCTTCAACAACAGTAGATATTGCTTGCGACAGGTTTCATATAATTTCTATTGACAACTCTTTCTTATACGTGGAACAAGACATTGAAATAAAACCTTCTGCCAAGTTGTCTGACAAGAAAGGTTGCAATGGAATTTTCTATGTCGGATACCAATATGCTCCAGAAGTTTTCATGGGATATAAGATATATTCTAACTCTGACTTAGTTCAAACAGTAACATGGGCAAACTATGAATGGTTCGCTTTGAGAAACTCAGTACAACCACAAGCTAGAGAACAAACAGACCAGTATGCAACTATTGAGAAAATAAGAAGACTTGACCCTAACGTTCCAGGAGTTTATGTTAACCTTTCTGGACAAACTGCAGCAGCAGTAACCAAAGTAAAACTGAAACTTAGAGTTCCTTTGTCATCTTTCCTCATCTTCAGGTTTTTAAGATACTTGCCAAACTGGGCAGGAAAAATTTCTATCGAACTTACTCCAAGCAAAAATAACTTAGTCATTGCACCAACACAAGACCCATTCACTCTTACAGACGTAAAGGGAGCAAATCAAACGTCATTCGCCGAATTTTGCAAAGACAAAGTTGACTTAGACTTTGGTTTCTCAAACCTCAACACTGAAGTAAACTACTACTTCAATGCTGCTGGAACTGCTTGGGACCCAGTTAAGTTCACATGCGAAAAATTTGAATGCAAGAGAATAGAAAGCAGACTTGCAGTCTATATGTTGGACCCAGATATTTCAAATGCTTTAGCTGCCAAATATATTGCAGTTCCACTTATGTTCCCTATACACCAAATATCTGTCAAAGACTTTGCAGGTGAAGTTGGAAACCAAAGTGCTGACCCAGGTGCAAGAACAGATATTGCTTAACAACTGCAATGAAACATGCAGATACTATGTTTGTACTGTTCAGACGAACTATAAATGACTATTCTTTTTCTACAACCCTGGTATTAAATACCATATAAACATAGATGGCAAATACTATCCAAGAGAAGAATATTCTACAGTTGAGGATATGAGGTCATACAACTTGACATTAGATGCTATGAACTTTAACAACAACTTCACAACAACCATTAACCCTGAAATGCAAAGTTCTATTATGCCATATGTGAAAGTATGGACCCATACAGGAGCTCAAAACACTCAATATACAAATGGAGACCGTTCAAACTTTTGGCTTGGCATTCCATTTGCTGACTCAGAAGACTTTATGGGTGGTATTTCAACTGTTGGTACAGTTCAAATACAATATACTGGTGACAGAGACGGTCCAAATGAATTGAAAGCAAAGAAGTTTACAAAACCAATAGCACTTTTCACGGAAGATGCTCTTTTGAAAATTCGTTCGATGAAACCTGCTGGGGCTCCTCAGATTGGTATAACGACAGCTTCCATCGAGCAGATTTTGGCAGCAGGTCAGTAAGTTGTTCTTGAACTGACTTCTCTCCGTCAAATATTGACAGTACGCCAGTTTTGATATAAAATTGTAAGATAAACTTACCTTTAGAAATATCTGTAAGTTTTGTTGTTATATTTTTGTCTGCTTCAAGAACTTTCACCATTTCAGTTATACCAACTTTCTTTGCTTTATGAAAATATTTTGGTTCAGCAAAGACTGCTATTCTATAACATTTTCCATTGTTTGTGTAAAGAACTACTCTGTCAATGAACTTGTATTGTTTGTGTGTGTAAACTTTGTTCTGCTTCAATTCGAAGAGATACTCAAATACGTCCATCTTTTTATTCTAAGTAAAATGTCATTTCCGAAAAATAGAAGCGTAAGTGTTTCAAAAGGTTTAATGGCGGTGGCAGATGTGAAGTTAAATTCACCAACTCAAACAAACAGTCAAAGTGTTGTTGTCAATGTCAAAGACAGAGATGTTGAAGTGGAGAAACCATACGAAGACGAAGATGGTATAACAATAGTTCCTGTAAAAGAACAACCAACATATCCTGAAGTTAGCAGAGACTTAAGTTCTGTTGCAGATATTCGAAACGACTACCAACAACTTAAAGACAAACTTAAAACTCAGGAGAAGATTTGTCAAGCTTTGGGTATAATGTTAAACTTGGTCGAACACAACCCTGTAAAAGTGAACTCATATGTCATTGCACCTCATGAAATTTTGAAAGAACTATTGAAACTTTTGACAGAGGCAGACGATATAAACATCAAAGAAATAGAACCCGACATTGCTTGCTGTGGTGTTTCATATAATGTCATTGACAAGATATACGTTATGAAAGGAGGTGAAACGTTGAACTTAAAATATAGTTTCCCAGACGTCATAAAAATATTTGACGACCACAACATTTCATTAAAATTTACTTGCTAAGTAAATGGCAGAAGACATAGTGGTTTATACTATTACGACTAAAAACCCTGAGTCATATAATTCTATAACAACAAACTTACAAAGTCCTCAAGGACGATATTGTAAACTGACCTTAAACACGATGACGACTAAAGCCTGTTTTGCTCTTTTGACACCAGAAGACTTTGTTGTTGTGAATGGTAAAAAATACTTCTTTGAAGATACTTACTCAGATATACCACCAACAGGTTTTGTTGACTTATTTAATACTTTAAGGACGGATGTAACATGTGCTGCAACTAGAGCAGGTTTCATTATGTTTGGATGTCCGACCGAGTTTAGTATAAACGATATGAGCTATAATACAAAACTTATATCTGGTTTTTACTACCAACAGTTTCCTATAACAGGAAAAGGTGTCATACAAGGTTTGTCTGTTCCATTGACTTTAAGTACACCTATTTTATATATTGTTTCAAACTTAGGTTCAAAGTGCTATTCGAATGTCGACAGAAACTACTATGACCAAAAGATACTCATGCGTATAAACAACACTTTCTCTGCTGGTTTGCCTATTGTTCATTCGAATGCAGAGTTTTCAGCTTTAGTGAACTCAAACACTTTAGCAAACATAAACTTAACCTTAGTCGACGCAAACTTTGTTCCTGTAAAACTTTTATGTCCTATGTATTTGTCAATGACGGCAGAAAGTTTCGAATTGGAAGATGCAACTGGTGAAAGTATTGTACTACAAGAACAACTTCAACAACAAATAGCTCAAGAACAACAAATGCAACAAATAGCTCAAGAACAACAAAGTCAAGAATAAAAAAAATATTTTTTTTATTTTTATAAAAATGTACAGAATAGACGTTTCAGATTTTTATGACTTCCAAGCCTTCAGAAATATGTGTCCATTTAGAGACTATAACAAAGCAGTCGAGAATTTGAAACGTTTAGTCATTTATGTCGACTCTGCCCCAGAATGTTATGTCATGAAAGAATGGGATGTTGTCTTTAACAAACCAAGAGCGACAATAGTTTCAGAACAAGAATGTAGACAGAAACTTAAGAAAATAAAAGTCGTACAAGTTGGCATGAAGATGTTAGATGCTTGGGATATCTTATTGTCAAAGTTAGAAGATTTTTCAGTTCGTGTATAAAGTTCTATACACCATCTCCAAACTTCTATTCTATCTTCACTGGATATAAATACGAACAAGTAGAATGGAAAGAAAATGTTATAGAAGCTTGGTTAGACCATGTCAAAGAAATTATATGCAATGGAAACGAAAGAGTCTATGAGTATATCTTATGTTGGTTTGCAAACATCTTACAACATCCAAGTGCTAAAAATGAAACTGCTCTCATTATAATTGGAAAACAAGGAACTGGTAAGAACACTTTCTTTACAGATATCTTATGCAAACTGTTAGAGGGCTATTCGAACCCGAATATGACAAACTTAGAAAACATCTGCGGTAAATTTAACTCTTCAATAGAGAATATGAAACTTATAGTATGTAACGAACTTCAAAGTATAGATACAACAAAGGTTTTAAACTCAGATGCTTTGAAGAGTCTTATAACAGACAAAGTTGGAGTTGTTGAAAGAAAATATAAAGACCAAAGAGTTTGTGAAAATGTTGCAAATTTCATCATGGTTTCAAACAATGCCGTTCCGATGAAGTTAGAAAGTTCTGACAGAAGATATGTAGTTGTCAGAACGTCAGATTCTCATATGCAAGATACAGAATATTTTGACGACTTAGCAGAAACTTTGACACCTAACTTTTACAACCACTTGTTCTCATATTTCATGACATTAGATATTTCTAAGTTCAATCCAAGACAAATTCCATATACCGAAGAAAGACAAACATTGTTAGAAGCAAACAAGAGTGTATATGAACTGTTTATAGATGAGACTAACTTTGAGTGTTTAGATGAAAGGTCATTGTACGATGAATATAAACAATATTGTCAAGAATATGGTTATATGGCAGCTTCTAAACGTACATTCTTGGCAAATGTCAAAAATCTTTTAGATGTTCAGAACGGCGTATATACAAAGAAAAATTTTTCTGAGTAAATTTAAAAAAAATATTTTTTTATCCGATAGAAAAGATGACGAAATATATTTCAGTCAACAAGTACATGACAGAAGTCAAAGAAGAACTAGACCCATTCGCTTATTTGAATGTTTACTTCTACCATTTTGAAAAGTCTACATTTGACAAAGTTTGGAACATCGAACCAGTTAAGTTTGCTATTGTGACTAAAAATGGTGCGAAATTTGAAGACTTAGACATAGAAGGTTTGTTAGCAGTCAAAGAAAATTTTGACAGAAGGTTTTCAAACCTTAAAGAAGGCAAAGCATACAAACTTGTTATACCTTATGAACCAAAGAAAGCAGACGACTATGAATATTATGAGTCTAAGATAGTTGAAGTTCAAGGTAAATTGGGTAAAAAGATTTTAGAGTCTAAGCCAGTGTTTGCTCCTAAAGAGGAAGAGAACATTGACATTGACCCAGAAATGTTCTAAAAATAAAATTTTATTTTTACATGTCATATCTTCTCTGGAACTGGTTCAGGTTTCTTCTCTTCTTTACTTTCTTTTCTTTCTTTTCTTTCTTTTCTCTCTTCTTCTTCTTTTCTGGTGGAGTTATGTCAAACTTCTCAGAACCATATTTATGTAAAAGTTCTTTGTCCTTTAATAGCTCTTCTATTCTGTTTTCTATTTCATCTTCAAGAACAGCGCATGTGCCTTCTTTGCATTCTAAGAACTTTTGTTGGACTTCATCTTTCCAATCGGCGTCATCTCTGTCAACAAGTCTGTCATTGACAAACTTAAAGACTTCTCTGCCTAATGTTTTATGGTTCTTGTCATATTCCCAGAAACAGAACTTTAGAACAAATTCACCTTTCTTGTTTACACTATGTAAGATTTTATGGTCTACAGATGTTTTGCTGTCGAAAAGCTTGTCTCGAATATAGATAGCGAAATCGCTAGACATTTTCAAAAAGATAAAAATTTTAATTTTTCTAAAAATATGTTAGAAAAAAAGTTTGCTGACATTGACAAGAAATTTGAGAATGTTTTAAACAAGAACAAGAGGAAGTTAGAAAATGCTCAGATAAAACCCATACATGACAAGTTCTTATTTGCTCAGAATGGTATAACAGGTCTAATCGCACCACCTGGGTCGGGTAAGACTTTCACTTATCTTAAAATGGCTGCACAACAACAAGAACTAGATGAGAAGAACCCATTCTATGAGTTAGTAGTCATTTGTAGTACTTCTGGTCAATTTGACCAAACCGTAAATTCGTTCAAAGATATTATAAAAAAGTCTAAGTTAGTATGTATAAAGGATACTGAGTTGTTAGATTGGATAAAGAAGTACCAAAGAAGAGTTTTGAAGTACAATGCTATAAATGAGTATATAAATTCTAAGTTTAAAGACCCAAATGAGGAAATGCAGAGAATATTAGAGAAGAAACACTTCAGAAACAAACAGAAAGAGATAGAATACATTTCGAAGAAATTGCAATCGTACGATTGGAAGACTTACCCTCATAGATGTCTTCTTATCTTAGATGACTTTGCTTCTCATCCTTTGTTAAAGAACAGAGAACAAGATATGTGTCGAATTCTTAAGAAGCTCAGACACTTTAACATCTCAGTTGTCATTTGTGTACAGACAGCAAAGAGTTTAAGTAAGGATGTTAAAAGAATACTTACTGATATCATACTTTTCCCTGGATTGTCCGAAGACGATTTCATGGAACTTATGAAAGAGTCCATGGCAGGTAAGTTTGACAGACATGAACTATGGGAGAAGTACAAAGTCATACAAGACCCTCATACTTCTTTCAGAATTCATATCTACGCAAACAAAGTTCAAATTGTAAAAAGTCAAGCTTGAAAAATAAAGAGTTTTGGCGACCAGGGTTTTTTCACTACTCGCTGTTCTTCTCTCGGTTTTTCGAGGGAAGCAAGCATATGAGGAAATTCATGAAATTTCATACGGAATTCAGCAAAAATATATTTTAGGTGAAGAGGTGAGATTTCACCTCTTTTTTCACCTGTTTTTTCACCTCAGTTATTTTATAAGCGTTTCACATGGTAAACGTTATTTTTTAAATTTTGTGAAAACTCAACGGTTTGACACAAGCCCTAAAATTATTTTACTCAGAATTTTGTTGCTGAATTCAATAAAAATATATTTTAGGTGAAGAGGTGAGATTTCACCTCTTTTTTCACCTCTTTTTTCACCTGTTATTTTATAAGCGTTTTACATGAATTGTATGATGTATATTTGAAATCCTAAACAATTTCGTAGCTTCTATTTCTTCTGTCAGTACATCGAATGTTTTAACGATACCGAAAGTTTCTTTATACTTCTTCTTGACGTCAGATAGAAGGAAATCGTCAGCAGTTGGATAGTTTTTGTTCAGAAATGTCAACATGTCCATTTTATCTTCTGCTGGTTTCTCTGCTTCTTTCTTTAAATCTGCATAGTCGTTTCGCATACGTTCTATCTCTTTGACGGAGTAGTTATATTTCCTCATTGCTGCTTTACATTTAGAACATTGTGGGTTCATTTTAGCATTGTACATTGAAATTTGACCTGCAAGTACAACTAAGGCGTCAATGGTTTTCTTTAACTCAAAAGTTGCTGGTTTATTTGTTCGTTCCATACTTTACCTCTTCTATCTTTATCTCTTATCTGCCATACACATTTTGCAACAACGAAACAAAGTTGTCGTAGGTCTTAAATTCTTCAGATTTATATATGTCAGAAACATTTTTATATACCATATCGCAGTCTTTGTCCATGACTTTGTGGTTGCAATGAAATCCAAGAAACTCATAGTTTACCTTTCGTATGAACTTCTTTATTTCTACCGAGTCAGTTGCTTTGACTTCTATTTCATCGAATTCAGGAATAGTAAGCTTTTGTTGTTGTATTTCAGGAAGTTTAGGTAGATGGTCAATAATATCCTGCATTTCATAAAGATACTGTTCATTTGTTTCATCTTTCGCACTACAGTCTAAATCTCCTTGGAGAAGTTCTTGCTTTATCTTCTGGATTGTTGTTTCGAAAGTATATGAAGAAGGAATGAAGCTTTTCATCTCTACTAACATTGAAGTTGGGTTCATGACTAAAGAGTTTGGTGCTGTTGTTGCTAACATGTTCTTACAATAAAAATAAAAAAATATTTTTTTAAAAAAACCAACTTTATTTTTTATTTCGGGAAAATTCATGAGGTGAAAAAAGAGGTGAAAAAAGAGGTGAAATCTCACCTCTTCACCTAAAATATATTTTTGGGTCATTTACGCTCATTACGATGAAGTTTCGACAAAACATTTACGAAGAAATTCATGAAAATTCATGAGGTGAAAAAACAGGTGAAAAAAGAGGTGAAATCTCACCTCTTCACCTAAAATATTTTTGCTGAAAAAGTGTCATTTTTTCATGTCCGAAGACTCGAAGGTGCAACACTTCCAAAATACCGACGAACTCAGAAGAGCAGCATGGCAGTATGTTCTTGACAACTTCTTTGAGTTCTCCAGGTACACCTTGGAAAATGCTGAAGAACTCCGACACAGAGAATTTGGAGAAATTGCACTCCAATACTACCTTGACAAACAAAGGGTAAACAAAGGGTAAAATAAGACTAAAAACTTAACGTTTAAAAAGTGACATTTTTAATGAGCTCCGAGTCACCGAGAAAACTTGGTCAGATGTTAGCAGCTTACTTCCCTGAGGAAGATGGAAGCGTTACATACGTAAGGTTCAAAAACAACGAACCTGGAATTGCGTACCAAATTCGCAATTACATGACCATGGAGGAGTACGAAAGGTTCTACAAGAGAAACCAGCTCTAAACAACTCAGAAAAGAAAGAGTAAAAAGTTTAACTCGTAATTGTTTATTTTTTTACTTGTATGGGCAAGCTGCAAGAATGAAGTCGACTATCTCGGTCTTTGTCTTGACAGTTGGACTGCTCTTGCGAGTACGTCTGTTTTGCGGTCTCCAGCTGGTGTCTGACCTTCGTAATTGCGCATGTTCTTGAGAGCTCCAACTGTAAATGGTTGTAGGATGAAGAGTCTCTCAGACTGCTTGAGGTAGTCTTCACGGTCACGAACCGAATCTGTGGTACGAGTCGAATCGGTCGATTTGAGGGAAGAGATGAGAGCCTGTCTTCTTCCATTGGGGTAGTAGCATACTCTTTGCGTAAGCGGTTCAGACCTTCCTCGAACTCTTGGTCTCTCTTGGATTGAGATTGGAATTGTGGGGCAGGGTTTTGCATAAACATCCAAGGGTTGGGGAAGTAAGGCATAGGCTGAGGAGGAGGGTAGTTCGGGAAGCCTTGTGGTGGGTAGTAACATTGAGGTGGAAATTGGTAGTAAATCGGAGGTACTTGCTGGAACTGAGGTTGCTGAGGAGACTGTTGTGGTTCTGCAGCTTTCGGTTCTTCTGGTTGGGATATGGGCTCGGTTGGTGGGACGTCGGACATCTGTTTGTGGCTTAACCGTCGGAAGGAAAAACCTTTCCTGTCGGAAGGAAAAACCTTTCCTGTCGGAAGGAAAAACCTTTCCTGTCGGAAGGAAAAACCTTTCCTGTCGGAAGGAAAAACTTTTTCTGAAGTTCGACCAAAAGTTCTCAATTTTCGAAAATTTGAATGGTTTACGGACGGACAACTGGAAGAGTTCTTCCTGTCGTCGGGAAAATTTTTTCCAGTTGTCGGGAAAATTTTTTCCAGTTGTCGGGAAAATATTTTCCTGTCGGATGGAAGGACTCGGAATGCCAGAAGGATTTGACGAGGCAATTTACCTTATAGAGATAAATGAAGTTGTTAAGCAGTACTTGCGCAGGGTAATGAAGCCCAAGGTCAAGTTCACCAGTATTTCTGGAAGGTCTACACTTCAGCTCGAGACTTCGACTGGAATTCCAATTCAAATACCAGACGGGACAGCCTACGACGACATAAAGGACGCCAAAAGAGAAGCTCTTGTTAAGTTCCTAAACAAACGTCCTTGGATAAAAATACCAAACAAGGAGAACCCCCTACCCCATATGAAATTGGCAATTCAGTCTCTCCTTCACTTCTCGGGTCAGCCGTTCTACATAACCTGTGAAGGCGACATCCAACCAGTTCAGTCAACCTTAACGTTTTGAGTAAAAACATTTTTTTTCATTTTTTGAATGAAGCAAGTTAAATTCGTCCCACACCAATCTCAATGGACCGATGAAGAGTTTCAAGCCATGGTTGAAGGCGTTGAGAACGACATAGACGGCGAACTTGAAGGAGCTCAAACCACAATTGCAACCAAAATTGCAGGAGTCAAGGAACAGATAGCTCCACTTAAAGCTACCAAAGCTACTCTTGACCTCATGGATAGTTACCGTTTAGATGTCAAGAGTGGAATAAGACAATTAAAATTAAAACTTCTAAACTACGAAGCTATACTCCAAAAGTTAGCAGAAATGAGAAGACTTTACCAGAGCTACTTACATGTAAGGGACTTACCTTCAAGCAATCCGACCAAAGATGAATTTTCTGACATTGTCCCAATTTTGTCCGAAAGTCAGCTCAGATGTTTTGAACTGCTCCCAACATATCCAGAATATGAACGTTTGCCTGAACTCTTCCGCAATCTCAAAAAACGTTTTTTGGTTCTCATGTTCGAAACTTTTATCGGAAGAGACAACAAACGTTCAGAAGAAGAACAAGATATTATTTTAAACTTGTTGTATGACTTAACCGTCATAACAAGCTTTTTGAAGTAAAACCGTCATTCTCAAACCACTTCATTTTTTCGATGTCCGAACAAGCACCGAAGCCGAACACAATGGCAGATGTCCTTTCAATGTTGCCAGACAAGCGCCCAGTTCAAATTCAAATTTTGAATTTGAAAGCTCATCTGACAAACACCGTTAAGACTCTCCAAAGTAGTCTTATGGAAGAGATGACCAAGCTCAAAGCCGATGTCCTCATGAACCAAGCTTCCAATGAGAAATGCCTGAATGATTTGACGGAAACCTTGCGCATTTACGCGAGAGAGAACCGAGACCTTGCCAGACTCATCTACCGTTTCTTCGAAGAGATAGACGCCATCTGGAAGGTACTCGGAAAGGACAGAACCTCCAACACCGTAATTCGTGAACACAGAATTGAAGAAGGAATTGTCGAGGAAGAAGAGAAACACGAAGAAGAGGAAGAGGAAGAAGAGGAAGAAGAGAAACACGAAGAAGAGGAAGTTTGGGCAACCCTTGTTGCCGATGACACTTACGAAATTTCCCAACCCTACCCATACCAAATCCGCAACAAGGAGACAGGCAAGGTTCTTACCCCAGTCCTCAACAACTTGGGACACTTGAACCTTACCCTTCGGAATCGCGGTTCAATCTCCATGGGCAAGCTTGTCGCAATTCAATGGGTTCCAAATCCAAACAAGAAGACGAAGGTCAGACACATTGACGGTGACAAGCTCAACAACCGTAAGGAGAACCTCGAGTGGTTCTAAGAGTAAAAAAATTTTATTTTAGGGGGAAACCCCGAGTAAATTTAAGTTTTTAGTTGCGTAAGCGGCTTAAATTAAGGATAATTTGGACAAGTAGTTCCTGACCTCTGAATTGGACTCTTTCGTCATCCCAGTTGCGTAGGAGGTCGTCCCAGAGGAGTTGGTAGAATTGCCATTCCAAGGACGATTTGTCCTCCCAGGCATTGAGGATGTACTGCTCGTAGAGTCTCATGACCTCTGCCTTGCACCAGACACCCTCTCCCTTGGAACGTAAGGCTTCTTCGAAGTGCTCGAATGCGATTGGCTGCGGGACCATCCGAAATGACACTTTTTGTACGTTTGGTCAATGTTTGTGTCTCGTGCCATAGTCGACGAAAATACAAACAAACAGGTTATATATGAGTTTGAGACCAAGAATGGTGTAACTCGACCTGTCCGATTCAAATTCGAATAAAAATTTTTTATTTCATGCAATGTTTAACTATTTCACCATCTTCTTTAACACCCCAGTACTTCCTTTTCGATATTACATGAACTTCGGTGAAAATTTTGTCCAATTTGAATTGACCCATCTTTTCACCGACCATGCCCATTTCAATGAGTTTGTTATAGCCTTCTTCGTTCGTCATGAGTGCATCGATGTTCTCATAGTAAACCTTCACTTTGGATTTGACTTCCGAGAAGAATTTGTTGTAGTTGTCAAGGACTGCCTTTGCGAACTGAGGGTAAGACCAATGTTCGACAATAGGTTTTAATGTGGTTACTAAGCCACTTTGACCTTGAGTGAATTCGTACTTCAAAACAAAAGGAGAAAACCTTTCAACAAAGTTGTCGACCTTCTCATAATGTTTACTCTTCATCTCTTGAGGTTTCTTTATGGAATATCCCCATGTCGAATTCATAAGCAATTTGAGTGTCATTGCAAGTTTGGGGTTTGAAGCTTTCCTAATATCATACAGTTGTTGTATGACTTTTCCAACTGTATAGTTCCTTCCTGGGAACTCACCGTCTTCGTTTGGAATTCCAGTTGGAATATATTGGACAAACCTCATGTACGCAGCGTTAAGGTCGACATAGTATATCTTTTCATCTGAGTCGAACTTGTCGCATCCAATCGGACCAGTTCGTGGAAATTCAAGCGAGTCTCTTATCTTCTGAGAAACTTCTCCTGCTATCTCATAAACATCGTCGAAGCAACCTGTTTCATATAAAACCTTCTGACCTAACTCCGATGCTCTCCAATACAATTTGACGTCAATTGGATGTCTCAATGGAAGTTTGTTTATAGCATCTTGAAGTTCTTGCAACCTCATTGGAAGTTCTTCTGGTTCAGGTTGGTATCCGAACAATCCAACTCCTTTTGGAACAGTGTACTTCTTTTGTGCTATAACTTTGTCTGGAACAACTTTTGGTCTTACCAACAATGAAAAGTTTGTTTCATCTTTTGGTACAAAAGTTTCTGTCAGCTTGTCATCTGGAATTGGTTCCAACAAACCTTTCTCGAAAAGAATGTTTACAGCTCTGACAATGTTGCACTTGCCTTTTCCGAACAATGGGTTTGTAAGACTTTCGTTCAACATGAAGTGGTTGTGGACAATTACAATCTTCAACCATGGCAATTTGAAGTCAACAACATAGTCGTCATGTGAAGAACCTTTAGCTGTAGGTATGTTGACTCGGATATTGACATTTGCCAACGGTGCAATTTTTGCCAATTGACCTCTGAGAATGTACCTTGTCTTCACACATGACTCAAGGTACTTCATCTTCTCTTCTGTAACAAGACCAGAGTTCCTGAGACATGTAAGAATACAAGGTTCGTTGACAATTGTTTCAATTGAATTGTAAATTCCATACCTTGTCAAGTCAATGTCAGACTTATTTATGAACGGGAAGTATCCAGCATGTTGTCTGACTGCTTGCGGGTTAGGTTGGTACCATTCAAATTTTACACTTGCAATTCCTTCAATTGCATTCAAAATGTCTGAGTCGGAGTCAACCATTTGTTCTCTCTTTGTAGTCTTGAAAGCGTCAAGAAGTTGTGCGGCTGTTGTGACATTGCCATGTGCATAGTAAATATGACCATCTAAATCTGTTACGGTTAGTCTGAGATTGTATCCTTTCTTATTTCCGTCTTGAATGGCAGCAAGTACACCCATGAAGCCTTCTTTGTTCTTTCCTTCGTCAAAGTTTACTGTAAAGGTTCGACCAGATGTAATTTGACTTCTAACTTCACGGTACTTTTCATATGCATATCTTGTTCTTTCCATGGGAGCATGTTTGTCTTCACCTTTTCCTTTTTTCCTTCTCAAAGGATGCAATTGTTCGTCATGTTTCCAGTAGAATCTGGCAAAGCCGTCGTGTCCTTCAACTTGAGGTTCACTAACATCGAAAGGCATGTCCATAAGACGTTCTTCTTCTAACCTCTCTAATCTGTTTGGATAATTTGCGCGTGCTGTTTCTAAGTCCATTTCGTAGCGAAGACCAGACAATTTGTCATAGACTTTTATGGGTCTTCCCTTCCTATATTTAAACTTCTTTGAAACTCTCCAACCATATCTTTCTAACTCTGCTTTTATTCTAGCAGACTTTCTATCCATTCTATATGGGGGCATTTTTATAAAAATAAAAAAATGTTTTTTCTTTACTTTACGTAACCGCCTGCTGCCATAAGTCTTTGACGCCAACCCATACCAGCTAATGAAGGTTGACTTGGTTTAGTCTGGAGACTAAACTTTGGTTTTGGTTTATCTTCAGTTTTTGGCTCACCTTCTTCTTGGTTTTTCGTCACTTTTCGGTTCCTCTGACTTTACTTCACTTGCAGGTATGGTTGTGTCGTCAACATCTTCATAAATATCATATGCCATTTGTTTTTGTTTTCCTTTCAACTTTTTGTGTTTGTTGTAAAGTTTAGAATATTTTGACTCTAAGTCAATGAGATGTTCTATAATGAACTGTTGGTCAGTGAAGAATACCTTCCCATCTGTTGTCTCGAAAGCTCCTTCAGACTTCAATATTTTATTTGTGAGAGTCTGTTTCTTTTTTGAGATACTAGCCGTTCCATTTCTATGAAAAGTGACTTTATAGTTAGGGTTTGTATTTCCAGACCTGGCACTTTCTATTATTGAATTTTTCTCTTCATCTGTAAGTTCTTTGACAGGTTTTGACAATGGTTCTGAACTTTTTGTTTGTGGTGTCAAATCTACCGTTTCAACTTCTTCGGTCATTTCATCTCAGTAAAAAATTTTAGTTTGTTTTGTTTTCAACTGGTTGTTAGGTTTTTTAAGTCGGTCTAAAACTTCCTGAGGTATAGGAAGAACTTGACAAACACGTGGTTGTGTAACTGCTGGAAGTCGACAAATCCATCTTGAACCCATTTGTCTCAATGCTGTATTGTTCATTTCATCTCAGTAAAAAAATTTACATTCCCCACGTTTGAGGTGGTTGCGGTTGGTTGTTGTTTACCCATTGTTGTGCATGGTTATATCCTCTGTTAAAGAATCTTTCACCTTGGTCCATATAGTGCCCTGCTTGGTTATAGTAGTCATTTGCTTTGTTATAGTAGTTTCCTGCTTCTCTTCCTACATTGTCCATCCATCCTTGAACTTTTCCTCTTGTTTCAGGATTTGGAATAAGATTTGTTGCATCTCGTGCTACCTCCCAACCTTTCTTGTACAGTTTGTATAATAGGTTGTGCTTTCTCTTTAAGTATACCTAATGTACTCAAATCTTCCTTCCAACTCCAAATACACCTCTGGCTATTGTTCCCCGCGCAAAATCTGGATGCAACTCCTGCTAATGCGCCAAATAAACCCATTTCTTATGGGTTAAAAAATGACGAATCCAAACAAGGACCCCTATGTTTCTAAAGCGACAAAGAAAGCACTCATGATAAAAATCTTTAGTTCAACACCAAATGCTTGGTTTATGGATATCTTGGAAAACATTCCGAGGTATAGAGAAGATGGACCTCCATACTGGCTAATATTTGTCGGTCAAAACACAAGATACTGTGAAGCCATACCATTACAGTCCAAAAATATTTTAGATGTGAAAACTGCTTTGACAATATTCGTTGACAAATACCATCCAACAAAACTGACATCTGACTGTGAAAGTTCTTTCAAATCAGACGATATTAAAAACTATCTGCGTTCAAAAAATGTAAACCAATATTTCATTGTCGACCAAACCATTCTGCTCTTGGTGTCATTGACAGTTGTATAAAAATCTTAAGAGACTTAAACCAACCACAAAGTGGTGAGGTAGATGAAATGTCATATGACGACAAATATAGACACTTCTCCATGGCAAAGATGAGACAAGTTTTAAATATTTACAATAGCCGTAAACAAAAAGGTTTGGGAAACCACTCCCCGAAGAAATGAAAAACAACCCCGACTTAGAGAAAGACTATATATTTAATAGTTTAGTCAAAAGAGACAAACAAGAAAGAATGCCAGGCTTCAAACTTCAGAAAGGTGACAAAGTAAAAATAGAAATACCTAAACGCGACCCATATGAAAATACTATTGACTATGACAACAATGGGAACTCGACAGGTACTCACATTCGTGTTCGTAAAAATAGAAGAAAGTATACAAGAGAATATTATGAAGTTTTAGGCAAACATGGCAAAATGTACAGACTGCAAGCAGAAGATAAAACTACTATTGTCAGACCTCGTTTCAAACTTGTTAAGGTTCAAGGTGGTATACTTTCAAAGACAGTTCCTAACAAATATAAGACAACTCCTGACGAATATGCTAAAGAAGTTGAAAATGACGACTAAGCAATTCTATACCATGCGTAAACTGTCATGTAAGGTGGCATGTAGTCTTTACTTTGTCCTGTTGTTTGCGTATACCCTGAAACGCGATGTGAATGGATTCCTCCTACATCAGTGTTATCCCAGTAACAATTTATAGCAAACTTAACGTCCTCTTTAACATCATATCCTTTACCTTTGTCATTGCTGACCAATCCCAAAATCTATGACTATGGCAAACCTGCTTCAGATGTACTTAAATTTACGTAGTGACTGTGCGCAGGTAAATTTGCACCTGAAATCGTTTTACTTCCACCTGTTTCCTTTGAAGAGTTTGCACAATACAAAAACCTGTCGACTATTTGAGTCCAAGTTCCAAAACCCAGAACTGTTTTCTGGTTTGGTAGAGTTCATTGACGTGTAAATAGAACCTATAGGATATAGTGTTTGAAGTATTTCTGTCTTTAATGTTTGAAGCTCTGTTTGTCAGCTTTTTTATCATATAAATCTTGAGCAGTGAATTTAACTTTGTTTTCATCCTCCATGACATAGACATTTCTACATTTAATGTCTTTCATCGTTGTTATGTCATCCTCCGATGTTAAACCTTGTGGAAAGTTAGGAGGTTTCCAATTTAATACATCCCCAGTTTCTTCAACCGTTCCTTCAATATTTTCTATACCAACAGTTGCGAAGAAATCGTGTGTATGGTTCTTATCTGCCTTCTTTTCAAGGCTAACGTTTAAGTCTGTTATTTCAGAAGATGTATGTGTATGTCCAACGTCACTTTTCCTGTTTAAGGTTTCTTGTAAGTTTGTAATATTTGCAATGGTATGTGTATGTCCAACGTCACTTTTCCTGTTTAAGGTTTCTTGTAAGTTTGTAATATTTGCAATGGTATGTGTATGTCCAACGTCACTTTTCCTGTTTAAGGTTTCTTGTAAGTTTGTAATATTTGCAATGGTATGTGTATGTCCAACGTCACTTTTCCTGTTTAAGGTTTCTTGTAAGTTTGTAATATTTGCAATGGTATGTGTATGAGTCTTTTTAGAATATTCGTTTTCAGCTCTTGTCACTTCACTTGACATTTTATTGTCAACATATGTTTTGTCTGCTAGTTCAGGATGAGTATGTTCTTTTGTTGCATATGTTGCATCTGCTCTGTCATGTTCTTCTTGAACTTTTTCAATGACATACTCTTTTGTCAGCTTTGTTGTTAACATCTGCTTTTGTTGCATATGTTGCATCTGCTCTGTCATGTTCTTCTTGAACTTTTTCAATGACATACTCTTTGTCAGCTTTGTTGTTTAACATCTGCTTTCAAAAGAAGTTCATCTATAGGTTTCTCGTTTAAAGTTCTTTTGTTGGATTTATACAGACAGTATGGTTCTTACTGTCTTGAAACAGAAACTCATCTGTCATTGGGTTTATCGTCAGTTTTAAGTTTCCTTCTTTCAATGACTCAGATATCTTAGAATAGTTTGAAAAGCTTGTTGTGTTCTTATTTAGAGCTTGCATAATGAGTTGTCGGTTGTGTTGTATTTCTCTCATAGACGCTGTTTCATTTGACATTTTTATTCTAGATAAAATATGCTTCCAATAGAAAAAGAAATTCAAGAGTTGCTACAACTAAACCATTAGATGAACTTTTTACTAACGTAGGTCAAAAGTTTGAGACAGAGACCGTAAAGCATGAAGGCTATCGTTTTGACTACCCATTAAGATGGCTAAGAGACCCATCTGTCACAAAAGCTATTGGCTTTCGTAGAATGAAGTTTGTGTCTGTAGAAGATAAAAGTTTTCCATTTATTGTAAGGTTTCATATAGATTATATATCTGAAGGGAAACGAAAAATGTGGGAAGAAATTGAGCTAATACAAGTTGACCTTTCATCTTCTCTACAGACTGCGTTAAAAAATAGAAGATAAAATAAATTCATGTTATGCAAAATATGCTGATGAATATGCAAATACCGAGAGCACACTTTATGTGAGAATTGTATATGACAAACAAAATTCACAAGTGTCATTTCAAATCTATGAAGACAATCCAAAGAAAGACGAACAAATATATACAGAATTCACTGCAATGTCATGGTATTATTTGCAAAGAATGTTAAATCAGAAAGTCAAACTTCCTTTAGCAAATATTTACAGTCGATATGCAAGAGATGAACCATATTTATTTAAAGATGTTTTCGACTCAGATGCTATTATAGTTCATGCTTCATTTTCTGGCGCACAAAACTCTTTTTTATGCTTGGCAAATGACTTTTACGAAAAAACCTACAAAGCTATATGAACCACCGAGTGGAAGTATTTCAGACTTTCAAGTATGGTTTACTACAGATGGAAGAAAAAGAATAATTCCATTATACCATGCGTTTTACTTAGAACTTAGTTTCATATACAACTACTATCGAACGGTAAAAATATAATTTTTTAATACGGTTGAGGTGTTGGATTTGGTTGCCAACTAGACTGTGGTGCAGGTTCAGGCTGTTGTATAACAGGAGCTTGCTCTTCTGGTTCAGGGTCTTTAGGTATAATACCAACGAACTGACCTACCCTTTTACCAATATTTTTGACACCGTTCCAAATTCCTCTTCCGACAGATTTATTCCATTCCATATACCTCTTCCAACATTTCGAAAAGTTCCTATCTTACTGAAGAAACCCATTTTACTATATGTAAAAATCTAATGTCCGCCTAGTCTCTTACGTTCCTGTTGAGTTCCATAGCATTCTTTAACTGGAGCTCATACATTCTGTTTCTCCTCTGGTAGAAAACATATCTGGGTCAACTCCTGTGTTCGCGTCATCTGCATAAAGTTGTTTATATCCCACTTCAGGTTTGTATAAAACTCTTCCATCTCATTTTGCTACCATGGTGGCAAACCTAACGCAGCGTCATTTGACATGGCAGTTTGCATTTTACATCTGTTGGCACTTGACCATAGTTTGCCATTGCAGTTTGTATTCTAACTTCATTGGAATTCTCTGGGTTTGGTTGTCCAGGTTGCTGTGCATTCGCTAAGTTCTGTGCTCCATTAATATTAGATAAAAATATCTCTTACGAGTACATATACTGAACATTTGCAGGCATTGGTTCATCTTCATATTCTCTATATCTTTCTGCCACGTCAAAAAACAAATGACACAATAAAAACCTAAAACAAGTAGTCCTATTTCAAACCACATTTACTTACTAATAAAATTTCTTTGTTATGACACTTTCTCCGGTTTATAGACCTCTCTCATATTCTATCTTGTCATATCTAAACTCATAGTCATGTATGTCCTCTAACCATCTCATAACGGTTTCCAAACCACTTTTATCGGATGTAAAGTAAAAAGCATGGATGGTTATGTAAAACGTCTAAAGTTTCTAAAGAGTCTCTCAAAGTCAGTCTACTTGGTATTGAAAATCCCATGTGTTATAGAACGCGGGTCCACTATAAAGAAAACATTTTCCTTGTCTTTATATTTCATACAACTCTGTCCAATGACATCTCACAAACTCTATACCCTCAATATATTTTCTATGTCCTCTTTGAAAACATTTGTATAGTTAAGATATAAAACTTTTGACATAAGTGTTTCAATGTCATGAATCTTATAGAACCACTATATAATAGTCTAGCAGATATACTATCCCAGTCTATATATTCTGCTTTTTTCAAAACCTCTCTCACAATATTTTTCTTATCTACTGGTATACGTTCCATCTTACCTATAGGTATCTTTTCTTTTAACTCTTTCAATATATTGTTTGTGTCTGGTATATGTTTGAGACGGTTCATATAGTTGTCGAAGTCATTGCATATAATCTTTGAGTCAGGAAATACAGTATGGCACAAATGAGATATATAGAAACTTCCACCGAACAAATCTACAAATGTTAGACCATTCGGTAGTTTCTTAAGTTCTCTCAATATAATATCTTTACATCTACTCTTATTTCCAAAGAAGGGTAACGGTGGTTTTGTAAAATTCATTTTATATATATAATAAAAATGTTTTTACCTGAAAAGTGACAGAAAAGTGACAAAACATGAAAACATATATAATTTGTGAAAAGCTCCTGGAGGGCTAGAGGGCACGAAGTGCCTGGAAGCCCCACTACCTTTTTTTTTTTTTTTTTTTTTTTGTAAAATATATTATAAAGAGTATTTATATAAATATTGTAAAATAATATAAGTAATAAAAATTGAGACCCCTCCCTGTTTTTGATGTTTTGTCACTTTTTCGGTAATTCTTATTGTTTCGACTCTATTAATCCATAACTCTTGGCTGCATCCCAAAATGACAAATGGCTATTTAATAAATCATCATAAGAATAACCTGCTATTTTGTCTAAAATTAACCTAAGAGAGAATATTTTTTGCTCATAAGAAACTAATTGCAATATGCAAACGCAATCTTTGTTCCTTTTAGAGATCCATCTTTTAATTTTTTCTTCATTTGTATTGCCATTATCTAATATTGTTTCTTTTCGTTTAGGTTTGCTCTTATAAATAACATATCTTTCATAATATTGACGAATGACGAGATTCTTAAATTCTTCTGTTTTTGATCTTGCAAAATATCGTAATAACAAACTTAGTATGTTGTCTATCCATTTTTATAATTCTTTTTCTGATTCATCTGCTTTTTCAGCAAATAAATTTTTCCCAGTTAAATGAAAATTGATTAATTCAACCTTTGGGAACATTCCAAAATTATTATCATAAGACAAATTACGGAAAGTGAACTCAAACAAAAAGTGACACAATGCATTTGCCAACCAAATAACTTTACAAAGCAAAAACTTAAATTACTTGTCAAGCTTACTATTCTTATTTTAACAATTAAAAAATTAAATTTTATTTTTATTTAAAAAATCATCTTATATCATCTGATATATATATATAACAGCATTAATATTTCAATGATTCACAAATCAACTTTTTCATTATTTTAAATAATTATAGAATATATACCGACTTTTTGTACATAAATATTTTTAGATTCAATAATGATTTA